AGATGAAACAAACTTCAAAACAGTTTAAGCAAAAAATTTATATCTGCAGTAATTATTGAGATAAATTGGCATAGAATGCGATAAATACCATGATTTTTCTTTGTACTATGTGAACACGGTCAAGTCAGACGGTCAATGGGAGGGCGCACACCCATCGCTCCGCATAAAAAGACAGCTCTCTCCCTGTAACAAACAGTGGGCCGATCGGTGCCTGTTTTTGATGTTTTGTTAATAAATAATTGATTTAAGTGTCAAATTTTTATTGTATTGTTATCACAAAAGTAAGCGACTTTTCGTGTGATAGTAAAAAATTTTTGTTCTACGAAACAAATATTAAATCTAGTAGTTAGTGCTCGAAAAATAACACAATGTTTCAGACAGTGAGGATTTCATAAATGACCGCATCCAGTGCAGAGCGGTTCGAATAGTCGACGACCGAGTTCTTTCTGATCGGTTCAATACACTGGCACTGCGTAGGGATGTTGCATCCATTTGCATTTTCTATCGAATTGACCACGGGGAGTGCTCTGAGGAATTGTTCGGATTAATTCCAGCCGCCAAATTTCACGAACGCACATCGCGTCAAAATTCACGATACCATTCTCACCATCTGGATGTTTTGTAGTTCACGACTGTGCGTTTTACTAGGAATTTTTCTTCCTCGTACAAATTCTCTGTGGAATTGTTTACCACCGGTGATTTTTCCGGACCGATACGACTTAGAGACATTCAAGAAAAGAGCCTACTCCTTTTTAAAAGGCCGGCAATGCATCTGCGATACCCCTTTTTCCCCTGGTATTGCAGTTGTTCATGGGCGGCGGTAGTCACTTACCATTAGATGAGTTATCTGTAAAACCAGTCTCCAGATCTCGTAACACAACATAACAAACACAACCGTATTTTACAGATATTTTACAGTGGTATTCTGGGCGAGTGTGGTCCTTTCCCGATCAAGCCGGCCCATTCGGGCTGCAGCCATAATACTCTGAAACCTACCAAAGTGCATAAACTTAAAAATAGTGCATATTTCTAGTGTAACTTCAAAATACGTTTATAAAAATGATTTGAGAGTTATAATACATGATCAAACGAACTTCTAAGTGAAGTTTGATCAGTATTATATGAGTCTTTTTATTCGAAGATATAGATGTTATATATATATGTATTTTATATACATATATAAGTTTAACAGGTAGTCCTTTCATTGTTCGGGCAATAACTCGCGCGCTTTTTCAGATTCTTAAATATAGATTAGAAAATCGATTTTAACTGTCGATTACTTCCTATCCCTTCCCTACTTTGTTCCCGTGATCTTGCTTCATTTTTAGAGATTATTTGTCAGTAAATATACTCTTGATTCGGCAAAACCCTCTCGGGCTGGGACGGGTGGGAACTTTATCTATATCTTCGAATAAAGTGACTCATATAATACTGATCGAACTTCACTTAGAAGTTCGTTTGATCATGTATTATTATTTCGTCACATTATTCGAAGATATAGATGTTATATATATATGTATTTTATATACATATATAAGTTTAACAGGTAGATGTTTAGAGATTAGTTTTGCCGAAACATATTCTACATTAAAGGTAAAATGAGACCAAATGTTATCAACCAATTTAGATTTAATAACAAAAAACATAATTAGTTTACAGCTTCTCAGAAAATTTATAATATGATAATTTTACATTGTGAAATTAATCTTTAATACACACTGCTCTTGCGAATTCATTATTGTCTACTACTTGTCGATTGTAAAACCTAGCAAATATAATAGACGTTGATGTCCAACCCGCGGTTCTTCGGATTACATCGAGTGAGACTTCTGCGCTTCTAGCCGCGGATGTGGCAGCGTGTCTCGTACTGTGAGCGCTGAACGTCGCCACATCCACTCCGCTTTCCGTTAGGACTTGTTTAACCCATCGCGCGATCGTCTGACTCGTAGCCGCTCGGTATGGACGTTTTAACGTTAGTAATAAATTATCCACCTTACTAGTTCTCAACTGTTCCGTTCGGGAAGTGTAGTCTTTGATAGCAGTTGCTGGGCATATGTCTACATTTTCCTTAAAATAGGGAAGCACCAGCAATGGTTGTTCACGCCCCGCAACAGAAGTTTTTACTAAATCGTAAATGACAATTTTAATATCACTGGGACTTGTTTTAATATTCTTAATTTTTATCAAGGATAATGTTTGCGCCCTATGGGCCGTACATAAAGCCAAGAGAATAGTAGTTTTTTTTTTTGTTAATTTTTCAATAGACACCTGGTCATGAGGTTTCCATTGTGCTATGTAATTAAGTACTACCTGCGGATCTCATGTACTAATATATTTCGGAAACGATGGTCTTAGTTTGTATACTCCCTTAAAAAATCTTTTTAATAAGTTATTATTAACGTTAATATTTAATAATAAAGCTAAAGCAGACCTGTGGCTATTGAGTGAGCCATATGTCGCACCCTGATTAAAAAGATCTGTAAGAAATGATAGAACTATTGATTCCGCACAAGTATTGTAAGGATTTAAATTTAAATCATTGCAATATTTCCACCACAACTTATAAGTACAACCATACTGTTGTAAGGTGTTTTGCGCCAATGAAGACAACATTATATCTAAGGCTGCTTCAGGAGTTCCTTTTCTTAGGAAAGCGTCCCGGATAGCCTCGCGACTCCCAGGGAAAGTTGGAACTGTTTCCTTTTCCTGCAAGAAAAGTTTGAGAGGCTTTGGTTAGCGTCTAAATAAATAATTTCGGAGCTACACATAGCTCTTAAAACCGGGAACCACGGTTGAGAGGGCCAGTAAGGAAATACTAGGATGCGTTCTGCCCTATCTGTCTTGATCTTTCGAAGGCACTTCAAAATTAATGTAAATGGTGGGAAAGCATAAAAGAAGTATGGTGTCCAACTTATGGTGAAAGCATCTACTGTAAAAGAATCGGGATCTGGTTTCCACGATGCACACATTTTACATTTGGCATTGGCGCGAGAAGCGAAGAGATCTATGTCTGGTTTTCCTAAAATGTCGGTAATATTCTGAAATGTAGTCTTAGATATTTCTAATTCCGTGTCTGCATTTTTGTTGCAAGATTCTTGATCAGCTTCTTTATTATCTTTTGAGTTTATGTATGATGTATACAGCCATATTCTTCGCTGCTCACACCATTGCCAAATATCTCTTGTGATTTTGTTTAAGTGGGGATATTTTATTCCTCCCATTCGATTTATGTAACTTATTGCGGTAGTATTGTCACATCGCAATAATATTGCACAGTTACATTCATCGCGAGCAAATATTTTTAAACCAAGGAACGCTGCTTTGAGTTCTAAATAATTAATATGAAACTCAAGTTCTTCCGTTTTCCATTTACCCCCAGTGCGTACATTATTACAGAAGGCACCCCAGCCCTGTTTTGATGCATCAGAAAATATTTCTAAAAGAAATGTTGGTCTCTCTATTTTATTTTTATAAATATAAATATACTTAGACCACCAAAGTAGATCTGGCAATATATCGGTAGAAGGAGTGAATTTGGCGTTATAATTATTATGAAATTTAATCAAAGCTAAATGTTTCTCCCTTTCTAACATTTTTGTATACATCCAACTATAACTAACAGCTGTACATGCTGCTGTTAGAACTCCTATTAAATGTGCAAATTCTTTAATGGTACATTGAGGCAGTAACAAGTCTGAAAATATAATTCTGCTTTTGAATCGGTAAACTAATGGACATATCTATAGAGTTAAAAATGAAACCTAAATATTTGCACTCATTTACAGGATTTAAATTACTTTTCTCGTAATTAATAATAAAACCTAGACATTTTAAAAGTTTAAGAGTTTCCGTAACATTTTTTTGACATTTTTCAAAACTTGATACTAAACATAAAATATCGTCGAGATATACTACCGATTTGAAGCCCCGATTTCTCAAATAGCCTACAACTACCTTCATTATTTTTGTAAAAGTTCTCGGGGCTGCCGAGAGGCCATAAGGCATCGCATTAAATTCATATGTGACTAATTGAGAATTATCTTTCTTAAATTGGAATCTTAAGAATTTTCTATGATTAGGTTTAATTGGAACTAGTAAGTAGGATTCTTTTAAATCTACGGTGGCCATGTAACACCCCTCCGATATCAGCAGTATAACAGTTCTGTAGTCTTCCATTTTAAAATGTAACTTTTCTACGAATTTATTTAATGATTTTAAATTTAAAATAAAACGATAGTCCCCATTAGGCTTAGGTGCTAGAAATATATTAGATATGTATTGAGTTTGGGATGATTTACAAACGGATATGGCCTCTAGATCAATTAATTTTTCGATAGCTTTAAACAATTGTGTTTTTCGGTCGGTAACCACTCATGGCGAGTGTCCGTAATATTTTTTACTTTTTTACTAAATGGGATGGGGAAACCATCACGGATCCAATTTAAAACTATTCTATTATTAGTTATATTACACCAACAATTGTAAAAGTATTTTAATCTACCGGCATGTACCTTTATGTCCGAGGGCCTGCACGTGATGGTCTGTTCCAAGTTCTTGTTGAATTGAAGCCGCCCTGTGACGACTGGGGTTTCTGGTTCATTGGGGCGTTCTTCCTGGACCCTCCTCGTCCCCCTTTGTGCATCGAGCGAGAAGGGCCTCTCCAGTTTCCCTGCGGCCTTGTCGAGCGAAAAGATGATGGACCTGGAGCCTTTGTGTCCGGTTTTTAATTTGAGAACCTTGTTTTTCGATAGCTTTAGATGCTCTGATTTTTTCAGATAAGTTACTACCAAAAAGCATCTCATCTCTTTCACTATCTTGAATTACATTCGCAAAAGTCTTCTCCAATCCTTGTGTTAAAGACTTGATTCGAGTTTGAGTTTCTGAAGCATGTAGGTCGAATAAAATCCTACATGCATCTGACAAACATTTTATAGCCTGTACCTTGTTATCGCTCGTAAGCAAAATAGTAATAGCTTTATTTATGGCGGTAAGGCCTACCCCTATTTGTTGTTGCGAATTTTCAGTTTTTTTTTATCCCGTGTTCGTGCAAATTCGGAAATCGCAGCCGCTATTTCAGGATTTAAAATAGGCGCACTAAACAGCTTGCAGTTTTGTGGGGTGGCATAGTCCTTGATTATTTTGTCCTCTTGGTCCTTTTCTGTTAGACCTCTTCGGAGGATTGGTGCCCATCTCTGGGCCAAATCTGAATGGATATCTTCCCCATATGCTACCTGTTCAGGAACTAGCTCTCCTAAGGCTATTAAAAATTCTGGGTCTAAAGAAGGCAACGGCTGTCCGAATATCGGCGCCTTTCCTGTGATCTCACTTTGAGCTGAATCTGGAAGATTTTCATCAACGTGGTCATAATCCAACTGAACGGTATTTAAGTTATTTTCATTGTTCTCGGTAACATTGGTTCCGATTTCTGGAACAAACATTTTTATTGTAAGAAAGTGGGTATACAAACAAATACTATTTAACACCACAATGAGTTAAATTTTCATATTTTAACTTTTTAATTAAATAATAGGATTCGAACGTAGTTTTTGTTAGCTGATTGACTCACGGTCAATTCTATGCTAAGCAATGTACCATTCGGCTAACTCCCGGTTAACTCTCAGGCCATAATTCATTTTTGGTTGACTCACAGTCAACTCTAATTACGTAAATTACATAAATTATTTGTAATAGTTGGATAAGCACGTAAACGAACGTAAATAAATGTTGCTTACCAGATTTTTCTTCGCAATCTGACGAATCCGAGTACACAATGATTCGCCTACGACGTTTGTCTTCTTTAGTTTGTAATTTCTTAATCTTTTTCCTATAAAACGCAATTTGGTCTTCGGCACTTCGTTTCGGCATTATTATTGTAACCGACGCGTGCGGTTCACTGCGCGCACAATAAAAGAATGAAGCAAGATCACGGGAACAAAGTAGGGAAGGGATAGGAAGTAATCGACAGTTAAAATCGATTTTCTAATCGATATTTAAGAATCTGAAAAAGCGTGCGAGTTATTGCCCGAACAATGAAAGGACTACCTGTTAAACTTATATATGTATATAAAATACATATATATATATAACATCTATATCTTCGAATAATGTGACGAAATAATAATATGCGTTTAGTGTTACTATGAAATATATTTTTGAAGTAGGTATAAATCATACTAATATTCAACGAGTGAAAGATAGAGACAAACAAGAAATTCCACTCTTTCTATTCGGGAACCCTTGTAATTTTGTATTATCTTGTTGTTCCAGAACGGATATGTCAGTATCAGTGCTAAGGGATCCTTCAAATTGGAAAACTCATAGACGTTTCCAGCGAGCCGTAGAAAGCAATTTATCACGCTAGACACATTGGAAGAAAAACAAACGCTAGCTAACATTAAATCGTACTCATAATGTTACATTTTAGTCCATACACATTATGTGGGTCTTCAAAAATAGATTCTAAAAGGTTACAACGAAAATGATCTTAGTAAGGATATATAAAAAAATAACTTGTAATAAATATTTATTTCGTGGCTAAATTTTTTTTAAATATTTACTTCTAATAAGCAAGTCCATTTTATATTTGTCATATTTTAACACACCTAGCTTTTCCATATGCAGGAACCTAAAAATTACAGTATAAAAGATGAAATTTCCCCAACCTAAGTTTTACCATCGGTACCCCAAAGGTACAACCTATAAACGTCTGTCAAATGTGATAACTATGGCAAATATAGAAAGGATATTTGCCTTAGTTGCAAAAATTTGGCAGGCGAGTTGACTACTGGAGTTCTTATACTTTATTTGTTATTAGGAAGACCCTGCTACCCATCTCCTGACTTGTTTCTTTCAGTCACCTCTGATATGGTGTAGTGGATATTCTCACACCACTAAGTACTTCATGGTCAACATCTCATTTTACTTTATATCATGTACACATATACATTTAATTCATTTTTTTCCTTTTTTTAGAGAATAGAGTGACAAACGAGCACGCAGTCCACTTGTATCACTGTGTCCACATTTATCCTCAATTGCTTATCAAAATGCAGATGTCTTTTTAAACCTGTGGAAGAAGTTGCAACCTTTCCAGTAAAAAGAGTCTCCGTTTCTCCGACAGCCTGGTCAAAACAACCCATTCGTGCTACAACCATAATATAGATGCAGCGTGACGCTACCATGTATATTCATATCACTTCATTTCATTTAAATTATACGAGTAATTTAATTTCCTTCATTTTTTTTTCATTCAAATTAATTATTTATTGCTAAAATAATGGGTTTTGATTTAACTGTAATTCTCGAATACAAAAGTTTAAAGTAACAGACGGTATAAGTACCACTGCTGGGCACAGGCCTCCCTTCTTTTTAGAGAGGGTTTGGGCAAGGTAGGGCAAGGACATGTCCGCCGCGCTGCCCCAATGCGTTGGCGAACTTCACATCACATCTTCAATTTTTTTCTTATTTCTCAGATATGCAGGTTTCCTCACGATTATGTTCTTCACCGTCGAGCTCATGGTAAATCAGCACTTAAAAGCGCAATTAACAATTTCATTGGCGCCGGCGGGGATCGAATTAGGATTGCTCGCGTACTGTGAAATTTACAACGAACGCTAACCATCTGAGCTACCGTGGCTCCTCATCTGAGCTACCGCGGCTATTCTCGCATATAGTGGGTATAAAATAAAAAAAGATATATAAAAGTGTCTGTAGAACTAGAACCCTTTTACGTTGAATAAAGTTAAATGCGGACGACGTGTTGGGTTGCCGGTAGCCGGTCACAAACCGGCACCTATTAATGTAAGGTCGTATTATAATTGTGCTAAGTTGAATGTGTATATGTGAATGATTATACTTCGATAAAAAATAACTGTATCTATTAATATTTTAACCCTCATTACTTTATAGAACTTTTAAATATTTGAACGCACCAAGGAGGGTTGAATGTGTACATCACACATTCAACCCAACTTTACTTTCTTCATACGCCACAAGATATAACCACACTTTCTGCAAATAAATTAATATATTATTATTATGGGGTATCTATATATTTTTCTCATCTAGTTGGGCTGTATAAAGCCGAACCAGATGGAAGCCCTCGGCAGGGGAGACCAAACGGCCGAGGGTTAGGGGGAAAGGGAAAGAAACAAACTGACTGTTTCATATCCGCCTCATCGATACCTATGTTCTGTGACATACCCAGGTATCGGTATGTTGCAGCCTCGGATAGGGTTCTTATGTTGATGAGTATATATATACCTATCAACACAAGGACCCTATCCGTATCATTATGGAACACGACTGCTGGGGGTGGTAGTGCTGGAATTCACGGCGACGGGTATAGTGCGCGCGATCGAGGGAGAGTGGGAGGTCCACTTAAAATTGGGCAGGACTCATCATTTTCTTTCTTTACGCGGAATGAAGCAAATTAGTTTATAACAACCCCAACATCGCAAATTGACTGTTTCATACCCGCCTCATCTAAACTGATGTTCTGTGACATACCAAGGTATCGGTATGTTTCAGTCTCGGAAAGGGTCCTAATGTTGATGGGCATAGATAAGTCTATGCCCTCAGAGTTAGCAACCTTTCCCCTTTCGACACGGAGGACCGCACACTTATCTGTCCTCAGCTCTATTCTAATAGAATTGCTAAAATCACAAGTGATGTTTAGCAATCTCACAAGATGTGTGCGACTGGAGGCGAATAACTTGAGATCATCCATATAGAAAAGTTATGTCACTTTTGTACCTCTTTTCCAAAGATTGAAATTCCAAAGAAAGAAATTGTCTCTCGGAACTCTCCAGTAAGGTACTGAGAGGGATTAGAGAGAGGCAGAACGAGTTTATACTCAGACAATCGCCCTGGAAGATACCCCTTCTTATCCTTATGTGGTTCTCCGCAGCCATCATCCGCTCACCTAGATGACGAAGGATCGTACTCCACTGCCCCATACACTACCCGAGGAAGTCTCTAATTGTACAGTCAACCTTTTACAGCTCGAGGGCCCTCTTCAGCCATGTATGTGGCACCGGGTGAAATGTCTTTTTGTAGTCTATCCAGGCGGCGGAGAGGTTCCGACGGTTGCATTTAACCACCTTGCCAATGACCGCGTCAATGAGGAGTGGTTCCTTGATTCCGCGGCCACCACCCCGATTTCCATTTTCAGCGCGCGACATCACCTAGTTTGATTTCAGGTGAAGAGTGATTCTCGCGCTCAAAATGGATGTTAGGGTTTTGTATATAGTGCTCACGATATGCGAGGAAGTCGCGGTCGATTTTCGAGAGGCGAACTGCGCGATTTGAAAATAGCCTATTCTAATATGCTCCTCATTTGCTATAGTTTTACCATCGTCTGAATCAACTACAACTGGAATATACACGGCGGCATCCAGTGTGCAGGTTGCTCTGCAATTAGTTGCGTCGCATTACCAGCTACAGCATTTTCATCCGATGAGGGAATAGCGTATATATTCGTTCGAGTTCGGCGTCATCGAATATGTTGGAGCGTTGGATGTACCGAACTCGGTCTGCCAGGTTTTGCTCCGTTACATGAACAGCTCCATCCGAGCCCGATAGACTAACATTCCAGTTTCTTCACCTTTTGCCCTAAAATACCCTCGCAATGTGCTTACTTTCATCATTTTAGTCCAAAGCATGCGAGGTATTCTATCAGCGGCGGGTTATTATTATTATTTTTACTCCCTTCATAATTGAATATATTAACAAAAAATAAGCTGCTTTTATTGTTTCAGTTTAGGTTTTTCTTTCGAAAAGGCGTTTCACACACATGAATTGTACATGGTCAAATACCCGGATGGGAAATTTAATGCCGACTATGTAAGTAAATGCCATAGTAGCTCAAGGGCTAAGTACTTAAGTAAATTTCATAGTACGCGAGAAAACCGCCGGTAGCAATGAAACGCAGCAGTCCGTCAACACGTATTATTGGATCGCGGCGGACTAACTGCTTCATAACCTTCTCAGAATTTATGGAGGCCTATTATTATTATATTAATAAAGTTATTATTATTATATCACTATAGTAGTGGAGGTGTTTTTCTAACATTGGGACGTATAAAGGTTAGCCTTTACTTTTTATGTAAATACGAGTAAACACTTGTTCCATGCGTGATTCAAAAACAAATAAAAACAAAACAGCCACGCTGTAGCTTAATTATAGTAGTTGTGTGAATGGTCGGACCACACTCTCACAGAATACCAGTGTAAAATAACGGCTTGATGCTGCTGTGTTTCGTATGGTGAGTGTAGAGAAAAAAAGTTAAATGAAAATTTAAGAGCTTAAAAAAAAGATAAAAGAAAGAAAATAAGAGAACGGAAGACCCTTTTTACAAATAATGAACCATTTTATTTTATTCCTCAGGTTTTACACATCTACGCGTTTGGTTCATTACTCTTACATGTTGATTTCTAATGGTGGACCACAGCATCTACTTACCACCAAAAAAGGTTGTGTACTTTCTACTCTTATTAAATGCTTATGCTTTACCACAATCCCACCTGGTTGTAAGTGGCGATGAAGCCCTAGTTAGTAATGCTTTTTTAAATTATTCTTAAAAAGGATAAAAAGAGTAGTAATGAGGCTATTCGCTTATATAGTATTTCGAGTTAAAATTCCATTGCGCAAAATAACATATTATTGGTTCAATTTATTTTAACAGAATTTACCAAATTTAAATCTTTATCTGCTGAATAAATCCCTTCGATACAAACGGGATTTGTTGTACAATATCGGGCAAATCCCGTATCGGTGACAATGAATGCAAATTTCTCGAATACTAAACGAATGCCGGGGTGGCTCAGTTAATCCGAGATTTAGCAGGACTCCGTGGTGTAAATTATTATTTTTTCATTATTTAATAACATAACATTTTATGAGTAGAGCGTACATACAACCAGTTATTAATTTATCTCCCGTTTTCTTAATTAAAATCAAAAGATAATAATTTATCACGCCAAGAGTTATTTTTATTAACAACTAGCCGGAACCGGGCGCGTTACAAAAAAAAGAAAAAAAAAAGAAATAATTGTGAAAATGTATTAAATTTGAAATATTTATTTTGTTTAATTAGGAATGATAATACATTGATTGAATTTGAATGATATAAATTACTTTTAAATAAATTTGTCGTACGATACGTGCGCCACCCACTATTAGTTAATTGTACTATGCCTATAACCTTCGCGCAAATTCAAGCAATAATTTGACAAAGTTTTTCCACAACCTGATGAACGGTATGGCAGCGCATAAAATACAAACAAACATACATACATTTTTATAAATGAGATATTTCACTTTCTGTTATAATATATTTCTTTGTAGACATTTGCTGCACGGTCTTTTATAAGACTATCACTGCTTAGCTTATTGGTTGAACTGGGACAGAATTCCCTTTGGCGTTAAGTCCTTCAGGCGTACTACATTGCGCATTAAACTTTGTGAATGTACTCCTTAGAAATAAACGAAAGATGTTTGTTAATTTGAAAGTTCAAAACAATATAACGGCATAAAATAAATCTGTGTCATTAATATAAATGTTAATAATTTATACAGTATACTAGCTGACCCGGCGAACTTCGTACCGCCTAACCGTCGATTCTCTAATTTTTTTAATACTTATTCTGCTATTCGGGACACCGGGTCAGCTAGTAAGATAAAAAAAAGAAAAAAGAATTTTGATAAGTCAGCAATTACATTATGTCAAAAAGTAAAAATTATAAACACTATTGACAAATATTGACATTTATATTTATACGATACTAACGTCACTCAATTGTTTTGCCTTCCCGGAACCCCTCCACTAACACTTCAACTTTATGGTATGTTATTAAAGTTCAAATTGACTTTTAAGTATTATTACGAATCTTTTGTATGGGAATATAGAAAAGTGTTGTTTTTAGACATTTTCATGCAATAATTTTTTAAATTTTTCGACCAGCCGCGGATGGAGTTCCTTTAGGAATTTCACCGCACGTGGATCCCACGGACCGATAGTCTCTACAGCAAATGGCACAAATATGTAGTCACCTCTCAGAGACTCATATTTGCGCCACTTATCAGTTCAGAAACGAACAATGCTCGAAATTGAAGCGGGGGAAATTTACCGTTTTGCAACCATGAGACATTATACTATTGAATGTAGATAAAGCCGCGGACATTTTCACTATCTTTGTATGTGATGTGATTTTATTTTTTTATTCTTCAAAATCCTTTTTTGTACATACACGGAAAACTGTTTTGGCAAACCCATTTCAGTTCATTTTCGTCATTATCCCAAAAAAAAATTCAGCTTCTTGTTCAATATCCTGGATCTGCTGGAAATTATGATAAAATCAAACCTCCATTTTATCTTATTTCGGTTTTTGACCAAAATCCTGTCAAATATTGTACGTTGCTATACATCAGAAGTATATTTTTATACTACTAACGTATTCTTTAGTATTATTTTTACTGTTGTGTTTTTTTTTTATTGATCAACGGGGAAAACGTTTAATGGTAACTGGACGTTGGTCCGTAGACACCTACACTAACATCCATACGCATCACCGCTGAGTAAGGTGAATGCATCGTTACTAGTAATAGCAAGGTCCCCAGTTTCATAGCGTTGGTAACTTTTGCAGTATTCTGCTAGAGCGTGATCCTTCCTCGGTCGAGCCGATCCATTTCTGCTGCACCTATGACACATTTGAAGCGTGGCTCTCCCTTAAAAAAAAACTCTTTCCGTGTCTTTATATTAACTTGTTCATTATGGTCTAGGCTCTCCCTTTTGGTATAGTAAAAAAAAACTCTTTGCGTGTCTTTATATTAACTTGTTCATTATGGTCTATATAAAGTCCATTGCTGAATATAAGTCTCCCCCATGGACTGCTCTTAAGGAGGACATTTCTAGTTGCCACGCTCAGCAGGCGAGTTATCAAGTTTTATTATTATTATTTTGTTATAGTGAAGATTTCATCTTTTGTTTGTCATTTCTTACAATATCCTCGGGGAGACTTGGAGAAGTCGACTCATACGCCTCACAACGTGCGTGACTCCGATAAGAATATTTTTAATCCAATTAAATCTACACTCACTTAAAATTATTTATAAAATGCCTTTTCACTTATACTTTCATAACAAATACTCGTTTGTTTTTCAAGATTCCAACATTTTAAATTGTGAGATTTTGAGATGACACAGTAAACAAGAGAAATTTATGTATACATCTCTAAATTTATTGTCTTATTGCTGTGAAAAGAGTTTCCATACGACCCTTTTATCCGGGCCCAATTTCATTATTTATGTGTTATAAAAATATTGGACACTAATCGCATTTGAGGCGAAACATGTCAAAAATACAAGTGGTTTTTCTCGACAAAAGAAATTGAACAGATTTATTAGGTTGTTCTGACCTGAGGAGCTTGTTAAAATGAATGTATTTTCCGCATTTGTGATCACCGGGAGAAATAAAAGGGAAGCCTTACGTGGGATAAAATGAACTTCAATTTTTGCGAACAATGAATTTTTGTTTCAGGTTAGTAATGGAATAAAAATAACGGAATTGACCGTAACGTAACTAATCTCTTTTCTGTTTGTAATCATAAAAAATTATCTGAATAGATTATTTATGTGTGAATTACATTGAAAATGTAATTTATTCCTTATATATACAACAAAAATACATAGTATGTATTACAGAAATTATTATATTTGAAGAAATTATT